CAAATCAAAACTACAATGAAGTATCACCTCACACCAGTCAGAATGGCCATTATTCAAAAGTCCACAACTGATAAATGCTAGAAAGGGTGTGGAGAAAAGGGAACTCTCCTACAATGCTGGTGGGAATGTAGTTTGGTGCAGCCATTATGAAAACTGTATGGAGATTCCTTGGAAAACTAAAAATAGACTTACCATATGATCCAGCAATCCCACTTCTGGGTATGTATCAGGAGGGAACACTAATTCAAAAAGATACATGCACCCCAATGTTCATAGCAGCACTCTATAAAATAGTCAAGACATGGAAGCAACCTAAATGTCCATAGACAGATGACTGCATAAAGAAGCTGTGGTATATTTATACAATGGAATACTACTCAACCATAAAAAAGAATAAAATAATGCCATTTACAGCAACATGGATGGACCTAGTGATCATCATTCTAACTGAAGTAAGCCAGAAAGAGAAAGAAAAATATCATATGATGTCACTCATATGTGGAACCTAAAAAAAAAGACACTATGAACTCCCCTACAAAACAGAAATAGACTTGCAGACATAGTAAACAATCTTGAGGTTACCAGGGAAAGGGGGTCAGAAGGGATAAATTTGAGTTTGAACTTTACAAATGTTACTCACTATATATAAAAATAGATTTAAAAAAAAGTTTCTGCTGTATAGCACAGGGAACTATGTTCAATATCTTGTAGTAACCTTTAATGAAAAAAATTAAAAATGAATATATGTATGTATATGCATGACTGGGACATTGTGCTGTACACCAGAAATTGACACATTTTAATTGATGGTACTTTAATTTAAAAAAAAAAGGAAAAAAAATCTTTGGTCAAAGAAAATTGAGGTTATCAGTATAAACTCATTTAACTTCTATCTCTTCTTAGTTATTTCCCTCCATACATACCAATATCCATCCAACTCTAAGAGCACAAATCATTTTATATATTGTGCAAGATTTTTTTCTTATACATATTTCAATTCCCTAAATTACTTATCATTTTGCACTGCCCACCACCTCAAATTTACCAAGGAATCAATCTACAGCCTCATCTGTTTAGATCACTTTCTCCCAGCCTGAAGAGCATCAGTGCACCTCGTGCTCCTCCATCTCAGATCCTGCCGCACAGAGGAGTCTCATTCGTCAGCATCTTCATGATCTCCTTTAGCTGGTTCCTTCCTTTCAACCTATAAAACAGAAGTCCTCTCATTCTAAAAAAATTTTTTTTCCTAATTGTCTTCTCTTTTCTTCCTAACTCCTTCAGAGTAGCCTAATCCCACTGTTTTCACTATCCCCCTGGGGCAGCCCTACCCCCTCTATTTACTGCAATCTGGCTTTCTCATCCACCATGTCACTGAACCAATTTCACTAAAGTCAGCAGGGACCTAACTCCCCAAATCCAATGGACACTTACATTCTCTGCAGCAGGACACCATTACCTACTGCCTCCTTTCTGGATAGCACCTCTCTTCTTCCCAGAATCCTTCCTTTGCTTATTAAACTTTGTCAGTCCCCATAGTTCTCTGTAATGTCATCCATTTTTTGTGATTTTAACTACTTCTTATGTATGCTGATGACATTCACATTTTTATCTTTCCATGTCTTTGTGTGCATGTCCAGTTATCTACCAGTCATCTCCTGAATTCTCCAGGTGTCCGAAAATTCAACATGTCCAAAACTAAACTCCTCTCCTCAATGCAGTTCTTCTCCCATTTCGTACCTCAATGATACCACCACCCAACCTTAGTCACATAAACGGGGGTGCAGCCTCTACCTCCTATTTCTTTACTTATCACTACCAAGCTATGTTTTATATTATTTCCTAAATAAAACTAGAACCTACTTCCTCCCTTCACCTGTACCTTACTTCAGACCTCTGGTCTTCTTGCTATCATCTAATCTAGAAGTTACCAAATTGCTGTTTGGTGGAACCAGTTGTTAGACAGTTCAAATACAAAAGGATTCTATAATCAAATATATTTGAGAAGGGCAGCACACCACATGCCTGCCGTGAAGGTCCACAATGAAAATTAGCCTACAGCAGCCCTGAGAAGTTGTACAGGAAGAAAACCTGCCTAACTTTACTTCAGTGGGGGTCTCCCTTATATTTGCCATGTTAGCCTTTCAGGAGGGACAGGAGAGACGGTGGGGGTGTGTAAGTCCTCCTTGAACATAAAAAAAAACACTGCTTCTCAGAACAGTGTGGCATAATTACCTCAAGGCTTCTTCAAAGTCACCTTTCACACTGACTTTAATGATCTAAAATGCAGACCTGAACGTGCCATTTCCATTCTCAGCTGTTTTCTGAGTAAAAAGAATCAGCTCCAGCTCCATGCAACATGGATGTTAGGACCCACTCTGACACCTTGCTGCCTGCTGGAGCATCACGTGCTGAGCACCACACTGCACTCAGTCTAAGCCCCAGTACCTGTGGTTGCCCCAAGCACACCACTTGCACTCGCGGTTCTACACCACTGCATATGCTGTGCTCTCTGCCTTGAGTGTCCCTTCCCTTCACCATCTTACTCACCAGCTTTTAACAAGGCCTTTAAGACCTAGCTTAGGTATTCCCTCTTTAGATGACTTTTCTTGGCCCCCCAGTTTTCCCTCCTCTTCCCTAAACGTGGACTAAATTCCTGAGTATCCCCATCAGAGTGTTACGCACATCTTTAGGGAACCCGCTGGCATGGCTTCCCCCCTCACTCTGCTGCCAACATTACGTCTCGTTCCTTGTTTTACTCCTGAAACACTCAATCCATGATCCATGAAATAAACAGTATTTAGCAGCCCTCTTACTAACAATCAGTGAAGACCTTCCAGAAGAAATCTGACACTCCAGCTTCTCTCTGATCTCAGCTTTCAGTGTGATTGAACTAAGGACTTATCTACGATTGTATTACCAGGGAGGCATAATTAATTAGAGATGTAGGTACATATACTCTTATGTACTCTTAAAAATTCTGCTCTCATGGGAAAGACAGGCATGCTTTCTGACAGTCCCACTCTCTTGCACTTCTTGAGCTCACTAGCTTTTCTCTTGGTGCCTTCCTCTCTCAACAAGGAAACAGGATAACAAAGTAATGAAGAACATAGGTTTTAGTCCAATTCCAGCTCATCACTTATATATAGCTGTTACAATTTTGGGCAACTCACATGTTTTCTCAGATTCCACATCTGTAAAATGGGCACAGTGACAATTCGCTACCTTATAAAGTTGCTATAATCCATGAACACCATTAAGTGCCTTGGTAAACATATGCATTAAAATGCGTCAATGGCTTCTGGCCATACGATTCATAACATTTTGACATTTAACCAAGTGATAAAACTATTCCATTTATTATTCCCATCACTTTCTAGTCCCCTTACCCTGCTTTGTTGTTTATTTTTCCTCCCGCCAGAGTATTAGTTCTGTGAGGGTAAAGGTTTATTTTATTCACTGCTGAAAGCAACAGCACTCAGAAAAGTACTGTACATATTAAGCCCTCAGTAATCACTTGAATGAAAGGTGCAAAGTATCAAAAGGAAAAATACACCAAAACTTGCATTATAATGAAAAGTATACATAGATCTTTCTCTAATGGCTTCTAGTCATGTATTTTAAAATACCACATGCTATAATAAAAACGTAAGTAATTTATTAAAATTTGAAGGCAGAAACATAATTTTAAGAGATTTAGACCTATGTCAGGCGTGATAGAGTACGGATGCTTTCTTGAAATTCAAAATCAGATCCAAGAGTATCACTTTGAGAGTGTTCTGGTAGACTGAATTTACTTTTAGTTGTCTTAGATGAAACAGTCACTATCCTACTCTCTTTCTTAACAGAAATGTGTTTTTTTGAAGACTCACTTTTAATTGGTTCATTAACCAAAGAGCTATTCTGCCCGACTCCTTTGCTCTTCCGCTTTACAGGTGAGTCAGAGCAGGAAAGCAGGTCCTTTCCAGATTGTGTCTTGGCAGAATGTTGTTTGGTCACTTTCTCTGAAGAAGATCTACTATTTCTCGGCAACTCTGCTTCTTTTCTCTGACTTCCAGTTCCAGAAATCCCCTCCACTGAAGGAGAACATGCTCTCGCAATGAAATCATCAAAAGACTCCTGTCGCTGCTCCGTGCCTGGGACTCCCAGGTTGTCTTTGGAAGTTTCTAGGGCCTCCTGAGTAGAGACTGGGGCATGCAAGGAGTTGAGAGGCAAAGGAATTCTAGCGTCACCTGTAATTTTCTGAAACTGGAGGGGAAAAACCAAAGAAAAGACAAATTCAGCGAACAAAGTCAACCATTAAAACGTAGAGTCCAAAACTTTAATGTTACTCTGTGATCTTCTTATTAAGACAGGCAACTGATTATTCAGAAGATTTTAGAGCCAGTGCTTTCTAATTATACCTTGCCACATGATTCTTAACTTATTTAGCTAATCCAAGGCTATGTCCACTACAGTTTCAGACTTTGGTGTTTGGAGTAGTTATTATCCATTTTCTTTCCCACATTAAAAACAATAAAACCCTATTCTGTAAGAAATGTATTCCTTTTCTACCCTCCAGGCACATGTAAGCAGTATCCAGTTTATGACTAAACTGTGTTCTCAAGTTGTCAGTTCCCAAGACCAGTCTGAGACTGGCTGAGGTGGGAGATGGGGGTTCCAAGTACGGTTAGAGGAAAAGCTGACAGGTTTTCCCCCCAACCTCCATAACAGGTGACTCACTATAATATATTGCCTATTAGCTATGCCTGGATTACTTATCTTAAAAAATCATCTGTACCAGTACTTGTACCTTCATTAGTGTTCCTTCATTGTAAGCTGACTGCATACAAATAGAAACCTAGATAAAATATGAATAGAATAGACATTTATACAATTTCAAATTTGGAATATTTTCTCTAATATTTTCTTTCTTTCTTCACTGAGAATAGTTTGCTTTAAATCATAAATTTTCAAGAGAACTTCCAGTTTTCGTATTTACAACAATACAGTATCATGAAATGGGCATAAATTTAATAATCTCAGATTTGGAAAGGATTCCAAAGAGGCTTCTAGCTCCCAAGCATGTGAACTGTTATAGAGATTGATCATTATTATTTTCTCTCTGACTTGGTAGTTCCCTTTTTGCTAATCCCTCTTAGAATCATTAAGTTCTGTTCTGATCACTTACTTGGATATTTTGCATTTGTCCTAGGGCAGTCTGCTTTAATTCTGGTTCTTCTTCCTCATGTGCCTTCTTTTCTTCTTTAGGTGGACTACTGACAGTAGAATTCATCTGGGGACAACCTAGTAAATGAAAATCTGACTGATCTATACCAGCCATTGTGGCAAGCTGCCCAAGTCTGGACAAGAAGAGGAAAAGAGGAAAAGACAAAGGTTAGCGTAATCACATCAGCGCAGCTTAGATCTCAAACACTGCCTCACTAGCAGCTTCCACACCTACCACGCACCTAGCCCACTGCCTCTCATCTACATTCCCACACTTCTTTACCAACTTTCCTCCAGTATCTAAAGATGTGCTTGTTTCTTCCTTCCAAGCCCAGCTCATTCACTTACAAACCACCACTCCATCAATTATCAATCTCCAATTCCCTCTTTCAGCAAAATTTCTCCTTGTTGAGAACCAATGATCTCTATCTTTCCTGCAGTTTAATAATAACTTTTTTTTTGTCTAGGACTAAAATAAGTTTAATTCAAACTAATAAAGAAGCAAAATAAATAAAAGGTAGGAAATTTTCTATGTATTCTGGAATATTTTCAATTAAAATCACCTTGAATTTTGTCTTTATGAAAACTATTCCTACCAATTACTCTATCTACAGGTTACTCTTATAATGGGCTCCCCACTCTAAGTAAATTCTCCTATTTGCATTTCTTTAAAAATTTAATTCCTCATTGAAAAAAATTCAACTGTATTACCTAAAATTACACTAAATTTAGCTAAACATGGCTATGGAAGTGAGGAAACCTGCTCAAATTCCTCAGCAAACTACCATTATAGTCACGAAGAATGCCGGGAAGAGAAATGGACTAACCCAGCGTCTTTAAGGAGATCCAAGAAAGCATGGAACTTCCGAAAAGAATTCTCAATGCTGCCCAAAACACCTTCATCATCCAGGATCATGCTTGTCAATGACTGCGCTTGAAGGGCTTCAGACAAAGAGAAATTTATATTTCTTAACTGGGCATTTTCATGTTCCAGCTATAAAAGAAGATTGAAAATATCTGACATGATTTTTTCTCATTGTCATTAAAAGAAAACGAAAGTAGTCTTGTATAAACAAAACTAAAATAAAACACTCAAAATGTAATTTATCTATAATTAATCTGACTCTTCATCAATACAGAGACCATATCACATAATAACTGAAACCCAGAGGCACCCAACAAAGTTTCCTATATAACACTCAGGTGGTATATAAATAAGCCAAAGTTACTGTTTTATTAATGATCTTTCAAAAGGTCACATTTCTAACTGGTTAAATTCATAATGGATCTTCATTCCACATCAGAAAATTACCTGCTCTAAGTTTCCCCTAAATTAGAAATGAAATACAGAATCTGATTTGAACAAAGCATATTACAACTCTGCTGAATGTTGAGGATTAACTTCAGTGAGCAAAGTTTTAATGTGTAAGTTTAAATGTCCTAAATGATATCCAACCCATTATATTAACTGTACAATCAACACTAATCTCCCTGGCTTCTTGAAAATACTCACTTTCCTTGCACTCCTCCCCTCCCTTCATCATCTGTGCATTTAAAACCCCACATTAGCCAAACTCCAGTATTTCTCAGAAAGGCCATCATGTTCATGATGCCTCTTTTGCCTTACGTAAGCAGGTGCTCGGTACTTAGATTGACTAAGTGTCCTCCAAACCAATGTATGCACTTTCAAAAATACCTCCTTAAACTCACCCTGTAATAAATTGTATTTATACATAACTTTTTAGCTGATGCCCTGCTTTCATGCACATTACGTAATGTAATTCTCATAGTATATATTTTTATCTTTCATTGCTTTCTTAGCAGTTTTCCAATGTCTTATACTTATTTAAAAGATTCACTTCTGTAATTCACTGCCAGTAGAGTTTCATCATGTCTTTTATGTTACTGTATATACCACAGAAGCATAAGTGCTTTCTTGAATTGAAGCATCATGAACAGGAAATAAGCTAATGTCGTATGAGGGCACATACACAAAAAAAATCTCAGATTTTTACATTTTTAAAAACATGGTTTCTGGAATATAGATCATATATGATCACCAAATACAAGTAAATGCAAAGGTCCAATGGTACAACTAATTTGCAACATATTACAGTTTTAAACTTTACAAACTATGTGTACATGGCTTAAAATCAAATTAAAATAAAACCAAAAGCTCTCCAAAGTATAAGAAGAAATCTGTTTACCTCACTGACTCGTTTATCAGCCTTAAGCCTTATTACTCGCTCCTCCTTTAACTGCTTTAGGCACTCCTCCAGTTTTTCCTAGTGTCAAGAAACAGAATAAATATTATAACAAAGTCATAGTATGATATCCAAAAGCATTTCTAGCTAAAGATCTCACCAAAGATTTAGGTGCAGAGCGAGAAATGAACTCAGATTTTAGTCCACTACTTGTAATATTATACTATGCTGGTGAAACTCATTATCAAAATAAATCAAATAAGTATATTAAAGATTTATTTAAATCCTACTCTTTCCAAAATAAATTTGTGGCAGCTCACCATAAAAAGCATATAGCATATGCATATAACATAGTAAGTCAGAAATAAAAAATTAAGACCAAGAAAGAAAAATTCTGTATTTATTTGTGGGTCCCTGTATAATAGGAAGCCCTATTAATAAACATGTTTAACACACCTGAATTATGTAACTGCAGATTCAAATACATTTTTTAAAAAGTAAGCACTTTTACAGCAATTTACTATATGCCAAGGACTCTTCTAGGAGTTCCCTAGCCATTAAATAATCCAATCATCCAAACCCTAGGAGGAAAGAATAATTATTAAGTCTGCACTATTTTACAGATGAGAAAACTGAGGCAGAGAGGAGCCGAGTAAGGGGAGCAACACACCCAAGGTCACATCATTAGTTAAGTAGCAGAGCCACGCTGTGAACTCAGGAAGGTGGGTGCCATTTGTGTTCACAGAGGTGTTAATCTTCCCACTCACCAAGGTCAATAAAATAAAATGAATATTGGTAAACTCCCTTATGATTTATAAGAACAAAGACACAGGTCCTTGAAGTGCAGGACACTATGTGTGGCAGGCAGAATTCTAAAAGAGCCCCTAAGATTCCTAATTGCTGAAGTACACAAACCTCCCAATTATTCAATCAAACACTAAACCTCAGTGCTATAGTGAAGGGATTCTGCAGATGCCATTAAGGTTCCCCAAAGCAGCTGATTTTAAGATAGGGAAATTATTCTGGGTGGATATGACCTAATCAGGCAGCCTATTAAAAGGGACTGGGCTCTTCCTGGAGATGTGAAGTACAAAAAGACAAGAGGAAGATTCTCTATTGCTGGCTTTGAAGAAGTCAGGTGTGATGCTGTGGGAAGGAATGCAAAAGGGAGGCCCCTAGGAGCTGAGACTGTTCCCCGACTGAGCGCCAGTAAGGAAATGGGGACTTCTGTCCTGCAACTGCAGAAATAGGATTATGCCAACATGCTGAATAAGCCTGAAAGTATTCCTTCCCAGAGCCTTTAGATGACAACACGGCCAGACTGACATCTTGACTTCAGCTCCATGATACACATGAGCTATGCTGAACATCCAGTACAAACAAGAAAGTCCAATGTCTGGGGCTCAATGTCTTACACTTAAATTTCACATGCTTTAACACTCTAAGGAGGGAACCCACATGTTCCTGTGTGTATCTGAGTAGAGAACCCAGTCATGTTGTGCCTGGACTTCTGACCTATGCAACTGTGAGCTAGTAAACAGATACTGTTTTAAGTCAATAACTTAGTGAAAGAAAATTAATGTGTTACTCAACCCTCAGGCTCGTGAACAAAACAAATGACTGTCATTGTTTTAAGCCTCTGTTTTGGCGTGGTTTCTTATGCAGCAATAAACAAACAGAACACCTATACTTCTTTAAACAGTAAGTATATTTATACACTCTAAATGCTTTGAACAATCACTTAAAGCATTTAAAATTCACTATGCCCACGGTGTGTGTGCGTTGAGGGGAGGAGCTCTATTATATGCCATCACTGGGAGAGGAACTGGTACCACTTTCTAGAGAGTAATTTTAGTACATACCAACAACTTACATCTAGGAATTTACCCTAAGGAAATCAGAGATGTGGGCAAAGATTTATCTACCAACATGATGTCATAAGATTGTTTATAACCAAACCCCAGAAGAAAGCTAAAAGCCTCCAAATTGGGATTGGTTTAAACAAAAACAGCACATCCACATGAAAAAACACTCTGTTGAAGCAGCTAAGAAACAACAAGGATGACAAGAGGTCTCAACCAGCATCAACGAATGGGCTTCTGGAGTTCTACATTCAAGACAGATCTGTCTGTTTTTCTTGAGAGATGGTCAGTGAGCTTAGTCAGATTCTGTGATGTAGAAGAGCATTCAGTGACATGACAAGCATTTCTGATACCTTCTTAAGACAAGAGTAGATTAGGTGTGTGTACACACAGAGGGGGCTTTTATTTCCTTTAGTAAGTTGTTCACTGTTTTCGGAAATTTGCTCAATGAACATATATTTTTATACTAAGAACATGTTTACAAAATTAATAGTCTAATAACTTCAAATTCTGTGGTGTTTCATTACTAAAGTCAATCAAGTTTTAAATGGGGGAAAAAGGGAAAAAATTGTAAAATTCCTTTATTTTTAATATAATGACTTTAATAAAACCTTAAAAAACGATTGCATAGAAATTCTAAACGAATGACAAAAAAAAAAAAACCCCAGAGAAAAGCAGACTAAAATACTCCATCTTGACTGGTTCCAAATAGCACATCAGGGGGCAATTACATGAAATAGTTTCTCCCTCTAGTGGAGGGAATTAGAACATAGTGTTAAATTTTTATGAAAATGTTTACCCTCCTCCTACAAAGTTAATTCATGTCCCTTAAAAGGAAATATGGAACCAAAAAAATAAGAAAGCAAAATTGCTTAATATTCTATTACTTAAATAAGACTATGGATGAGGCTCTGGAATAACTCCTTCCTGTCATCTGCTCTCCCTCCTCCCTTCTACACATCATGTAAGTTGATTTTTCTGGAATGAAGTTCCCGTCATACTGTATGCCAAATTTTATGTTGAACTTTTTCCCATTTAACATTGAAATTAATCATTTCTCATATAAACAGGGGATTCATAACTTTGAATTCTTTTTAGTGAGTTACGAAGGATTCCGCTGAGTGGGTCTATTGGTTAGCCATTCCTTTATGGTTAAATATTTAAATTCTTTCCAACTTTTCAATATTGTAACTGTTCTATGGGTGAGGGCATCTTCTTCATATTTAGAATTATCTTCTTGCAATAAATCCATAAAAATGAGCTTAAGATCAAAGCAAACAAACATTTTTAAGGCTCTGAGGTACCTATCTCCAAATTGCTTTCCAGAAGATTTCTAAGATTTTATACTGCCATCAGCAATATATCACTTGGTATATAACCTCCACTATAACCGCTGGCTTACTTCCTCACTTAAAGTGACTGAAGTTTGAGGAAATGAGGCATATTTTATTGAGCGTTTATCTCCAGCACCTGTGCTTTGCACAAAGCAGACAATCAATAAATAATTGCTGAAAAAGGAAAATCCCTGCCAATACAAGATGTACATGTGTGAGAAACAATGTGTTTTTCTCTAATTGGATAGGTGAAAACTTGCCATCTTCCTTAAATGTGCATTTCTTCTCTTATAATTAGTAATTAAGTTTCTCTTCTACATTATATTTAGAAAATTTAGACTCTCTGAGGCAAAATCCTGGCTCTACCTGTTAGCTATGTAACCTTGGACAAGTTCAGTAACTCTAGGCCTCAACTCCCTCATCTACAGACTGGAGGTAAGTTCCCACGTCATAGAACTCTTGTGAGGACTACATGAGTTAAAATACACATAAAACTTAGACTATATCCAATTAATGCTAAATGAATAAACATGTGAATGCAAACAGTAGCAAAAAGCTTAAAATTAAATAGTCTCGTCCCACTCACAAACCCAGTACCCTAAGGGGCGACCACTTCTTTAAGCAGGTTTTTAATTGTAAAATATGATATGCACACTGAAAAGTGCACAGAACAAAACTGTTACTGTGACAAATAAAAGGAGAATACTTACATAACCACTACTCAAAGCTGCAAGTACTCAGGGCCTCTCAAAAATCCTCCATCCCTTTCCTCAACACAAGCACCTTCCCTCTTAGCAGTCAAACACCATCCTTACTTCTTGACAATCATTCCTTTAACCCATATGCATCCCTAACAATATAGCTTAGTTTTGCTGACATCAAACTTCATGTAAAGAGAATCACAGTGTATGCAGTCTTTTGTACCTTATTTCTTTCACTCGACATTGCTGCCTGCAGCTTTCATTCATTCAATTTTATTGCTTGATAGTTTTCCCAATGTATAAATACATAAGACTTGTTTAATTTTTGACTCTTAAAGGACATTTTTTTTTCAGTTTGTGCAAATGCAAATAATGCACACGAATCCTGTTGTACCAGTTTTTCTTGTGCACGTACCCAGGGCGGGGGGAGGGCTGCTGGGTCACAGGATACTTACATACCTTCAGTATATATACGTGCTTTCCAAAGTAGCTCTGTCGACTTATACTCCTGAATAACCAGGGTGGGAGATTCCTATAGTACTCCAGGTCTGCAATGCTGATTCTATCAGACTATTTTTTGTCAATCTGCCTGGCATGTAGTTTCATTCGTTTTGATTCACTTAATGAGGCTGGACACTTTTCTGTGTTTACTGGCTGTCTGGACTTCTTTTTATGAGATTTAAGTCAATTATTCTTGTTTTTAATTCTTTTCTATTTCCAAATAATAAACTTACATGACTACTTTATGACTAAATCTTAGGCATTATCTGTTACCTTTCTACTTTACTAAGTAAGGGTTCAGTTCATTTACACTCTTACCTATGTCTACACCACTCAGTAAAGTTATGTCACCATTAGTTGTTTCCACAGGTTATGACCTCTTCAACTTGTAATGATACACTTAAAAATCTATATTATTTATCAACTATAAATTATCTCAATGACCCACTTTGTAAAATGAGGACATTCATGTCCTTTTCCCTTTTTCCACCTCCTATCTACCTTCCTTCCAAATCTGGCTTTCATGCTGTCAAAGTTGAAATACATACTGTTCTATGTACAGTTAAGTTTTCTGTAATTTGAGAGAGTATGGAGTAGTGTTTAAGAGAACAGGCAGAAAGCCTGAGCTCAAAGCCCTGATTCAACCCTAAATGAGGTACAGCTTAGGCAAGTTCCTTCCCTGTTTTAGCTTCCTTTTCTGAAAAGTGGGGATGATATTAGCACCAAACTCATAAGGCTATTCAGAGGGTTAAATGAGTTAACATATGCAAAACCACTTAGAACAACAATACATACTAAGTACATATAGTACACAATACATACCAGTACATACTATGTTCATACTAATACATACTAAGTATAGTTTAGGTTAGTTACTTATTATTGCACACAAGTTGACAATAAAAGCTGCTAACCGAGACAGTATTTCCATTGTTGTGATTAAATTAACATGGCCCACTGCAGACATTTCCTATGTGTAGAGACCACGGCTCCTTCTACACTGTTTCAGTGTCACTGCCCTTGTGTAGGGTGACTACATATCCCAAGATACCTTGGGCTGTTCTAGTTTATACCTGTTGTTCTGATGTTGTATTATAGCACCTCCTTACACTGTTTAAGTGTTCTGGTATGGACAGTAAATTAGACAGGTAGTCATTACCCCTGTGTCACTGAAAAGGGGGACATCTATAGTGTCAAGTTTATGTAGATTCTTTTCCTGCACACCAATGGTAGTTTAAACATCTACCATAGTTTTGTTTACTTCGTGTTGATGTCAGTATAGCCTTTTCTCCTCTGAAGTTTGAGTTCCTCCTTCTCTTCCTCTCCCTCCTCCCTTCCAATATACACAGCAAATACAAGATCCTCAAGGTGTTTCTAAACTCTCAAGCACACAAGCAATGGAAATCTCTCAAATCTATACTAGCTGCTCCCTGCAAGGAATCTAATGTTTCCTGAATCCCCTATTACCTTCCTTCTTGGTTTATTCCCTCATTTTGCTGGATTATTTCTTCAAATAACTTAAGGTGTAGTACAGGAAGTAAATTTTTCAAATTTCTTTATGTACAAACTACCTTATTCAGCCTCCACGTATGACTGATAGTTTGGCTGGATACAAAACCTTAGGTTGAAAATTATTTGCCTGAAAATTTGGAGGTATTTTTCTAATGCCTTCTAGGATCCATGGTACTGATGAGAACTATGATAAGGTTGAATTTTAATTTTTTCTTTTTAGGTGGCTAGTATTCTCTCTGGGATGTATTTATCTTCTTGGTACCACAATGAATGGTATCTAGATATTTGAATCTATTTTTGTTCATCTTGCTCAAAACTTGAGTAGCTATTTTCAGTTGGAGGTCTCATGTTTACTTTCAGCTGCGGGGAATTTTCTTGCCTTTTGACAGCTTCCCCCCATTTTTTTTTCTGGGTCTGGAATTTCTAATAGTAACATGTTGGATCTCCTAGATGCAGCCTCTCTCATTCATCATTTCTATCACATTTTCCATTGTGTCTTTCTTTTTTATATACTGAGAAGTTTATTTCCTACTGAATTTATTTCAGCAACTATATTTTCATTTCCAAGAGACTTTTCTTGCTTTCTGATCACTTCCTTTTTAATTAACTTATTTTATAGTTGCTAGTTATTTTTAAACCTAAGGATACTAATTAGGGTTTTTTCATAAATCATATTGTTTCCTGAATCATCCCTGGTCCTACTAGAATATGTTTTTACTATTTTTTTTTTAAATCTCTATCATGTTGTAAGCTTTACTCGACTATCAGACAAACCATGGTTACTTTCTATTTAAGAATGAGAGCTGGAAGTTCCCTGGAAGCCAGTAACTGATTGGCTTCTCTTATGCATGGAGAAGTGGATAGTAATTATAATAGGATACCCTCAAATACTCTTTTCTATGGTGCAAAAATTCAAACAGCTGCCCTGATTCTCCACAGTTTAATTTTTTTCAAAGTGAATTTATCTCATTTCAGAAGAGTGAGGGTAGGGCTGGGAGTCAACTCTTGCAAGCACAAACCTTTAATGATCTCTCCCTACTTTAGTCACATTTAAAACTAACTCCACTCTCTCTTGCCCATGCACATCTGAGCATGGAGCTGTTTCTGCAAGGGGATTAAGATTCCCCCTCAGCTGCAGGCAGTCCCTGTACTTAGTCTAGGAGATGGTTTGCCTCTGCTCTACTGCTTCAGTTTCACACTCTTCTGCCTTTCAAAAACATGTAGTAATCTCTTGACTGTTGTGGGTTTATGTATGTAGCACTTTAATACCATCATTTTAGTGTCATGTCAAAATGGAGAAGAGCTGAAGAAGTTCTCAGTGCACCTTGAATAAAGTACTCTGTAGTCAGTTTCTAACCCTGGTCTTCCCCAATGTCTATAATCACTTTTAGAAATACAATCTCCTAGTCTACTGATGAAGGAAATGAACACAACACACCTGAAAAGATAATGAATGCAGGACAGATGCTCTAGGGTCTTGTCTTACTCTGCAGCTTACTAATAAATCACTTAAGTGCAACAAATTGTAGGCACTCATTTATAAGATGAAAGAGGGTAATTCTATATGAACTATAGATTCCTCTTACTGTAACATTCTACAATTTTCTAAATACTTATTTTAAAATTTCTCTATATTATTACTATTAATTTTAGTTAAAAATAAAAATCTAACTTTCCCTTCTGAAAATCAAGTAATAATTTCCATGTCCTAAAATAATACGATAACTAGTTTTAAATCTGTCAAGTTTTATACTCAAAGAAAATATTAAAATAATTTAAAAATTAAACATGGACTTTGTAGCACAAAGACAAGGTCCCCTCAAATGGAGTTTCCCTTATTTAGTACAAATCATCAGCTCTGCATTAAAGTTAAAATAAAATGATATTATTTTTGAGGTACAAAAATTTGTCATGAAAATCAATTTTTCTTTTGTTTACAAAACAATATGGAATGACATTAGATGCCAGCTTTTTTAGGCAATACAGTATAGCTTCTTGGTATCTTTTATTTTAGGTAAGGAGAATATCAGCATCAAAACTTTTTTTCAACTTTAACTTTATTAAAAACAAAATCCTATTTTCCTATTATAAAAAGGGAGGTCAACTAGAACTGTCAATTTTCTCATCTGTGAAAAAGAGCACTGAATCAGCTGACTGCATTCACTCAAACTCAAATTCTTTGAGGTTATCTTATGATCATTAAGGGTCTCCCTAAGTCTAATATTCTATGGTTCTAAGGAAAGGGAAATGTATTATTAACACATATTTTGATTTTCATTTCTGAGAGCTCAAACGTCCATTAGTCACCTTGGTCTAAGCTAAGGGGGATACAATGCAGACAGGACGGAAAACAGAACCTCACACAAGCTGCCCAGTGGTGCAATCAGCCTTCCATCTGAACAATCATCTCCTCTGTATCTTTCAAGTGATAACTCTGTACCTGCAGTGCTTCCTGCTTTACGCTGATTTTCTCTGGCTCTTCCTGAACACTTTCTGAAGAATCGTCGACCTCTTCGAGTTCTGAGGAGGAAGGACTCTCTACCGTCACAGTCACAGGAAATTCTGACTGCTTAAAGAAAGAAGATAGGTTGTATAAAATACAAACCAGATGCCAAACATTAAAGGACATTTAACCAAAGTGATCTGAGGTATCAAGTCATTATTTATAAATCTCTTTCACTGCTCCTTAGTCTAAAGCAAGCAATGACAAAGTAAAATTACATTAACATATTTTTGCTGTGTTACTCTAAAGAATTCTCTTGTACATGGTTAAGATTAATTTCAGAATTGCCCATATTATTAATTTCCTTCCACAGAAGCCAAGTGAGGAGCCAGGGCAAACATTTTTCTCTCAGATCAACTTTACACTACAAATAAGAAATCGATTCTTCATCATTGGACACAAACTGTCTGGAAGAAAATGTAGCTTCTAGGAGAAAAATGCATCAGTAAAGGGACTGATAAAGAATCAGATGAATAATTAGAAAGTCAACATATCTAAACTCTGAATAACAAACATGAGAGTTTTAAAAAATAAATCATATACACAACTAAAATTGAGCCATCAAAACATCATCTTCTCATCATCCTTAAGCCAAAACTAGCGTAACAGTAACACCATTCTCCTGTCAACCTTCACTGCCACTGGAACATTGTTCAATATGATGTTTCCAAACATTTAAAAACTGACCTGATCACAACCCCGTAAAGTCTACAGATCAAAAAGAAGTGTGCTGGGATTATATAACTGAATAGAAGACAAGTCACTAGGATATCATTTTGATGACAAGCAGCAAGCCCTGCAGGATAAGAAAATCCCAGCGGTGGAACGAGGCGTGCATCCCTTCTTCTGGGCGTGCGGGGGGGCAGTACTGACAGCCAGGGTGCTCTCCTCTCACCTTAGCCATGCTGCCTTTCACAGAGCAACATCAGTCTGCCATGACAACAGGGAAGGAGAATCTGGTGCTGACAGGCTTAATCTGCTCCAAGACCCTGAGGCAGTATGAGGGGGACTGTGTGTGCCCTTGGTGAGAGAGGGAGAAGTGCTGATGCAGAGGCTCTGGGATGTGCTGCTCTATATTGGCTTTAAGATCAGAACTTGTACAGAGAGCACCCAGTCAACATTTTCTGAAAGCATATGGACATTCTTGAGTATGACAGCTCCACGTGTGGGATCAGAAATGGCAGTCAAACTCCTTTCACTGGGTAACAGCTGATTTGTGGACTGCAGAAATGGCTTCCTTGTTTACAGACATAAACTTGAGGCTCCCAGTGTGGCCCATATCCACACAACTCCGCCGTGGCACTGGCAGAGCCACCCGACAAGTTCTAGATGATTTATTTCAGAAAGGGAAACGCTTCTTGTAAGGCTCTGTTCAGTTTAAAAAGCAAAGAGAATGACTTTCACTTTTCTCACTTAAACCCCCTATAAATCAGAAATAGAACAACATACCTGCAACTGATTACATACATCACGAGCTTTGATTAATGGAAAACCCCTGAAAAAACATCAACAAAACGAAGTTATATTTGATGTAAATATGTCACCTGTTAATCCAAGTTAATAAAACTAATCAGTATTATGTAAAATATCCATTATAGAATTGTGTATAAAAATAAATAAGCTCAAAATAAGGACCTGGAAGGCTCTGCCATGGAGAAAATTGAACAGAATCTAGCAGACCAGCTTTATGATAACTCGTTGAACCGCCGAGAGGTCCCTTCAGTTCCTAGGTTCAGGATGACTGAGATTTCAGTCTAACTTCTTTAACTGGTGAAAGTAACCATTTTCTAATTTATAACTTCTTGTGATAAGGATGGACCTGAGATTAGTAAATGTCTCAAGAAGAAGATATGAAACCACAAAGCTGTGAAACTAGTGAAACTAGTGACTTAACACTATAGTTTATGCAATAGTAATTCACATTACCATTTGCAAAAGAGTAGTTGTCCAATGGAGATTACAAACATCAATTTAATGTGAGCAAATGAACAGATATTTTACACAGTACCTACTTCAAATGCTATTTAAAATCATTCTCTTTGTTTTCTTAAGCAATTGTTAATCCCCAATATCTTGAATACTAGCAGTAAGTCATTTGAAAATAATCTATAGCAATCTATTTCACTTAGCAAGCCTAAAGCTATAATTCAACAATTTTATTTACACTGCTGTAACAAAAATTACTATGAACAGCTATCTCTTGGGTATGTAATCAGCTAAAGCAAGCTAAGTCTAGTTCGACTCACTAAAGCTGATTCACAAAGTTAAGCCAACTGATTTAGATTAGGTCTAATCCATACTTCTCATCCATTCTGCATTAAAGTATTCCCATAAAGTGTCTTTTTTCCCCATTCCTACATATCCAAATTCCCACTTCTGTGCTGAAGGGCTTGGTTCACCTACACCTGCCTTTCGTGAAATCTTTCTCACTTGCAGAACTGGAGATAATTTTAGTCTCTTCTTGATTCCCATAGGGTTACATCTGTTCTGACACTTGAGAAACAACTTGAAACTCCCAATTATAATTAGCTTTTGTTCTTCTTCCTTAGAGGACTCATTAGGCAGAAGCCATGTGTGAGTTATCTTCTCCTACAGAAACTATCAGAGACCTCCCACATAATAGCAGCTCCAAAATAAAGAATTCTGAATGACTGAAAAAGACAGGGAATGAAAACACCCTACCTGTTCCTGTTTGCACGTTCTGCAGTACGCCACGGCAGGAAACCAGACACACCAGGGGGCAAAGGTTCAGGAGCATAACATTCTTTACCAATGGACTGTTTTCTTCCATTACTCACAGGTTTCTTTGTAGCCAATCCTATGTTTGAGAACGCATGAAAAGACGGAATCAAGAGGCACCAAAGGTTCTACAGAGCAATTATCACATGTGCACACTTTGAAAGGAATCCAACAGGCACTGGACAATGATGTCAAAGCCATTAAAAACATGATTGTTTAGTAAGAATGTTTTACCCAGGCCAGCAATTTTTAAAAGTATAACTTCTCTACAGTAACAAGTTATTTTAACTAAAACATAAGTATTGAGATGTGCAGGACATGCAAAAATAAATAAAAAATATCCCCCAAAGAATGACACATTTTGTATATCATGCAGAAACATTCAAGTTTACTGAATCTCAGAAAATTTTTGGCATTTCTGAATCTCAAGAATAGAGAAACAAAGATATACCCATGACTCCTGACAAACAGAATGTTCTGAAATTAGACCAAAATTCCAGCTTAAGATTAAAACAATCAAAGTAATGAGATTTCAGGTTGCTGGCTGGTAGGTAAGCCAATGTTACCCTCCTGTAAGTGTCGACCTTCATTGCTGATTTGATTTCATATAGAAAACACACAAAAACCAAATGAAATCCATTGGATGAAAGAGGGAAATGTAGAGATTTAACCTACATTTCAGTACTGAAAAGTCAAGTATCTTTACATGAAGTATTTGTAGCAAAAACTAGACCTACATGTTAGTATTTTATTTAGAACTATGTATTCAAATTCACATTTAAATACTTAATTTTCTCTACTGTTACTGAAAACAAGCATCATAAGTTAAAATGGTTATATTAATCCTTCAAATCTACTATACAAGATCTACTTTAGCAGCATTAGGATGGCATGTAAATGTGGTAACGTGTATGTGGTAATACAGGACAACCTTATTGATAATCACTGCATGATTCTATGTGATTTCTCTGGACAAATTTACATGCCTCTTAAAATATATAGAAGCTCAGTTCATCTTGCTATTCTTTTTTTGTTTAACTTAATTACCCTCAAAGAATGTTTTGTGTATGTGGTTTGTATGTGTATAACTTTCCTTTCAGAAACTAATGCAAATATATTTTGCAATTAAAATTTTTAAAAATTACACTTATCTTGTTAGGAGATAAAAAAAATTCTAACAAAAGTTCCAGTCTCTTTTCTGCATACGTAATTACAATATAAATGTGACACAATTCACAGAATTATTTAACCCCTATATTTGCCTGGATCTAACTATAAGGCAGACATTGAATTGGCTTACCTCTATGTCTCCAAATAACTGAGGCAAATAAAAAAAGCCCAAGAAATAAAATTACTCTTAAAAAAGCTCAGTGAGCTTGTAAACTTCAGTCACATTTCCACTTTGCTTTATCATGCTAAATAAGAAAAATTTTAAATTGTTTTATTCTTATTCCATGATGCCCTACAACATACCACCAGGTACGAAAATTAGAAAATTCCTGTTATATACACATGTTTTATTTATATATATTTATATAATGCCACTCTGCCATTCACTATTATTATGAAAAATAAATGCTATTTGCAACTAAAGATAATGTGTTTCAGAAAACAGACAGTTAAGGTCACTTAGAAACAATATAAAAGTACCAGTAGAACTGGATTATATCAAATTTATATATTCAAGAGGATGTGAAACTTAAGTCACTGGTGGTTAAAGAGTTTTAAAAGATTTTTATTACATTTGATCACAAAATTATAGGCTGGATTTTAAAATCCTGGGTTAACTATTATTTGGAAAATTAAACATACATTAAACATTTAGAAAATGTTTTCCTAAAATGTTCCATCTAGGTCAATAAGCTTCTTTGCATAATTCTTTTATAAGGATTCTATATATTTTAAGTCTTTTTAGTCATTGAGAGAAGCAAAGTATTACCTGATTCAATAATTCTAGGTAAGAATTTGCAAGGAAGAAGGAAACAACAGGAAAATTGAAACTGGGAAGAAACTTCGTTTCATTAAAAAAAAAAAATCCCTCAAAAGCACCATTGCTAAAACTGTCATCAACGTGCAGCCCAAACTTAACTGCAAAGTATTAGAACTAATCATCAATCAGGAAATATTTTCAAAATAATGAACTTTCTATAAAATTCAAACAATGAAGTTGGTTAATATTAACATCTCATTAATTTCATTCAGTGTTTTTATATTCTAAAAATTCTCATAATATGTACCAAAACAATTATAATTCTCCTAACATGCAGGCATATAACATTGGTTGTTACCAATACCACATGAGAAGAGATATTAATTTCAGCACATCAGAATGCAAAAGGGCTATAAATTCTAGTAGCATTAAAAAAAAAAAAGTAAAGAAAAGGGTTACCTATTCTAATAGTAGCTTTTCCTTTTCGACCACTTCCCAAAATTATAGTTCTCTTTTTCTGTCTGGCAGCTTTGGATGGTTCCTTCATTGATGGAGAAGTTATCCACTGGTACTGAGAGAGAGACAATAAATAAGCCATTTCAGTTACAGGTAATTTATGAGGGTTTATTCTTAACTGGAAATTATTAAGATATTCTAAGTTAGTAAAACACTTTCAATCTGCATTTCTGGTAACCTAAATTAAAGAATCATACAGTATTTTCAAAAACAGAAAAGCCATTTGATTTGACTAACAACTTAAGATGACAGAAAAGTACCTTGATAATTTTATTTTATTAGAAAAAAGAAGAAACACAAGCAATTAAGGAGAAATGCTTCCTAGAGAACTAAAACATGATATACCTCTGACTTGGCACTCCTTCCATTCTGGAGAACTTTTTTGATAACTGCTTTCATCACAGAATGATCTAAAGTGAAATAAATTGCAATTAGAGTAACTGTTTCCCAGTAAGTGGCTATTCCCATTTAAAAACAAAAACCAACACATTATTGCTTTTCCCACAAAATTAAACATGAAATTTACATTATATAATTCTATACCTATTTTTCCCTTTGTGTATTTTAATCTCTTCCTCAAAAATCTAAGATGCCACCTTGCAGACTGCCTCCAATGGCTGCTACTTTGGCAGCAGCAAAGGTCAAATTTACACAAACACTTTGTATCTAAAGTGGCTTTGGATACTTTGGATAGAAAGCAGAGAATCTGAGCACTGTCTAGACACGTAGATTAAGATAGCAAACCAAAGTCCTGATGTTCCCTCAAAGCTGCTCCTCCTCTCAGCCCTCTTCTTCTAAGTGGTACCACCCAGTTGTGCACATCTGGGACTTGTCTCTTTATTACTATCTCCTTCATACCCCACATCTAATAGATCTGCAAATCTTGTTAGCTACACTCTCAAAACACAACCTGAAGTCAACCAATTTTCACTTGCTCCAAACTTCTAGTCTAAGCTAAGCCATAAACATCTCTCATTCAGACCGTGGTGACAGTGCCCTACTTCATCTCCCCATTTCTCTTCTTTATCCCAAGTCTACTCTTTTTATCAGGGTCATTTTACCACGACACTAGTTGGATCATGCCCTTTTTTCAGCTCAAAACCCTCTATGCATTTAGAATAATCCCTATCTTTACTCAAGCCTTCAAGACTTTACAAGATCAGGCCCCTGGTTAGCTCCTTGACCTCACAGCAGACCCTAGTCTTCCTCACCATATTGGCCTCCTTGCTTTTCCTTAAATACTCCTTCCACCTACATGTCTGCATACTCATTGCTTCCGTGTCCTGGAATGTGCTTCCCCCAGACCTTCCATGGCTTGATCCTCTCTTCACTCAGGTCTCCACTCAAATGTCTCTTCTCCAGTGACGATGTCCCCTAACAAGCCTGTCCAATGTAGACCTACCTGCCCCACTCAGTCTCCTTACATTAAGGTATTTTGAACTTCCTACTATCTAAAACTACATTACTTATCTGTTTACTCATTTCTATCTGGACTCCTCTACTAGAATATAAGCTCCATGAAGGCAAGACTTTGTCTATCTGGTTCACTGCTATATCCCTAGTGCCTAAACTCACCTTCTCACACACAAAGGTATTCAAAAAATTACTTCTTAAACTGACAAGTGAATAGAGTACTCTTTCCAAAAATTCAGAGATTCCACAAGAAGGAAATAATGCTCTTTGTGGAAGCAGGCTTATTATCTAGGTTTACCTCTATGCAGAGTAGCAGCCAAGAACAATTTGCAAGCATAATTCATTTTAATTAGTAAATTATCTGCTAAAAACATAAAGGAGGTACAATATTAGAAAAGTACAGCTGACCCTTGAACAACATGGATCTGAACTGCACAGGTCCATTTACACGCAGTAAATGTGTACTAGAAAACTACAGGAACCAAGGCTGGTTGAATCTATAGATGCAGAACTACTGACTGTAAAGTTATACCCAGATTTTCAACTGCACCCCACGTTGTTCAAGGGTCATCTGTATAAGATTAAGAAAGTAAACTCATTAGGTTCTAAAAATTGTCAATACATGAACAAATTCTTTTTGTTTTGCTATTTGTTATCAATTAAAAAATTGTGACCACATACCAACAAGTGGATTTTTTCTTATATCCAGAATGACCAAAGTTCTGTTGGTTTCAAGGGCCTTGAGTAAAGCCTTAGCTCCTTCATTGGTGAGGCCACACTGCTGCAGGTCAAGTGCTTATGATGAAAGACAAAAAGGTCACTTGCTTACCCTATACAGATTTAACATAGAGATGACTCTCATTTACGTGTGTGTAGAATAGTCCTACACAAGACCAGTCATGGCTAGTTTTTACTTTTGGGTATTCCAAAAAACAAAGACATATAAGCACACACATAACGCAAAATCCAATTAAAAAACGCTTCTTGGATGTGCAATGATTACCCTGGCTTGAGTACCAATAAATCACCCAACATATTTTACAATTACAGAACTGAAGAATAACTTTATATAACCACTGAGTGAAAAACATCACAAAATGAATTAGTTCATAATTAGCAAGGGCAGCAGCAGCAGTGCAAACTTCACAGGCAAAAACTGGTGGGGCTCAGAAGGTTCACTGCATTCTTTTGATCTTGAGCCCCACATCACTCTTGAAACTAGTTAAAAGGGGAAAACAGAATAGAAGAAATGTATTAACTATCAGTTTCGAACAAAAAAAGAAGTCTAAGAGGATACAAATAATAACAAATCCAAAGAATGTGTGAGCAGAGAATATATGTTAAAAACCTATCATGAAAGAATGATGGTCAAGAACTCTCTTGGTAAAAGGTCAGACAAAAAAAACAACAAATGATCATAAGTTCTAGTAGTTCCGAGGTTGAACAACCTACTCATTTAAACCAAAAGGATCATCATGAAAGCACAGGTATAAAAAATATTACATGAAAGGAAACTATCATGAGTCCTTCTTTTTAAAGTGTCATGTATATTATTACATTAAAAAACTAGAGACTTGCAAAACCCATGACACACAGAAATAGTAAATCAAACATACGGATCTGACCAAATACGATGCAACTCTTACAAACTTTTACCACAGAAGAACGGACACAGAATATAATTAACCAACTAGCCAAATTAATACAAATAGCCAGTAAATCTCACTAGCAAATCAAATGAATACAAAATAAAACAAAATGTGGTTATTCTCCTATCAGATTGCGCCAAAATCCTTAACAAAAGCCCTTAATATTTGCACACTCTTTTGATCCAACAATTCTTTATGATAATTTAACCTGAAGCATTCTTTAGAGATGTAAGCAAGGATGTTTATCAGAGTACTATTTGTAAATGAAAAACTGGACAGGGCTTGAATGGAAGAATGGATAACCAAGTGTATTTTGGCAGATTTATATAATGTAACACTGAACAACCACTAAAAATGATGTAGCAGATGTAAATTTATTGGTTTGTTAAGATGCTTATGGTATACTAACTAAAAAAAGTTATAAAATTTGGAGAAATCCCACCTGCATAAAAAGGGGGAAGAATAAGTTTTGTAGTTTTACAGTTTTTGTAAGAACCACAAACCAGTATTTGTGAGGATGTAGGCCTCACATACACTGTTGGAATGGACTATAAATTGGCACAACATTTATGGATGGCAATTTGGCAACATGTATCAAAAGTCGTAAAAATATTCCACATTTAGTCATTCCACTTTTAGCATCATATTCTACAGAAGTAATCCCAATAGACACAGAAATGTATATACAACGTGTTCACACTGTTTCTGACAGGGAAAAGCAAACTCTAAATCTGATTGCAAAGAACTGGTTAAACAACAGAACATCAATATAATGGAGTACTACATGATACATCATTAAGTAAAAAAAGCAGAGGTATGAAACAGTAAGTGCACTACAATTCTATTTTTGCAATCCCTAAGTGTATAAATATGTTTATAAGAAAAAAAAAAAGACTGACAGTATATACACCAAAGTGAACAGTGATTATATCTGGGTACTAAGATTATAGGTAATTCTGTTTTCTTGTTACTCTATATTTTCTATAAAGAATATATGCAACTTTAAGATAAAGTTTAAATGCAAAATAAAAGCAATTGGGAAAATAAGGCTTTTAAAAAAATCCTATGACAACAGTATCAAGCCAAAAGCTAACCATAGTTAATATTAAAAATTCAGTATTTTCAATTTTAGAACTTACCTCTAAGCCACAAATCCTCACTAAGAGATTCTGCAAAAGCAACTGCACCAAGGTCACCAATGAGCGTGTTGCAGTTCAGAGTGATGCGCCTCAAGCCAGCCATGCAGTCAAGGTCAGGTCTCCTGTAACGAAGACTCTCAGCCCAGGTTTCTTCGTGCCTTCTGATGGTCTGATACTTCAAAGATTTAACAGGATGAAATTAAGATGCTTGAATAAGGAAAAAGGGTATGCCTGCTGAGTATGGCTTATTATGTTAGAGATTTACGTACACATACCAACTTTCTGTGCCAGGAGAGTCAACCTAAGAAATTAAACAGTCAGTTCTGGTTTAGGAGTCCAGTGACCCGGATTCTCCTGTCAGTGATTAGACTCTAGCCACTGGATGACCTATTTTTGATTAGTTATGTAAACTCTGACAACTCAATTACAGTTAATGGATTTTATTTTCCTTATCTGCCAATGCAAGTAATTGGGTCTACATTTTATCATTGCTGAGTCTCTAAATTTTATCATTCTGTCCTCCAATGGTCTCCAAACACTTGATTGGGCATCCTACAAGTAAACTTTTTAATATTGATGTTATTTATTAACGAATTATATACAAGAAGTTCTATACACATAACTTACATATATTATAAATTACACAGATATTTTTTAAATGATATAATGTAAGTTAGAGAGGTTCTAATATTTTCTTCTCCTAACTCCTAAGGCATTATTTTAAAAACTGTATTTACAAAATGGATCTCGCATGCTACTTAGGGTATGTACACCAACTTTAGAAGCCTAGACTATGCAAAGTCAGTTTGATGCGCCTTAGGAAACTGATGGTTTCACATTTAACCACAAGTCTTGTCTTAAGGACATACTCAGTTCTTTTTATTCATAAAATAAATTTTGGCAACAGGGAACTCTGACTTCAAAGGAAGAAAATCTTAATACATTCTTGAATGAAAAAAAGACTCAAAGTTCCTTTGACACTCTGAAAGGAAAATCATTAGTGTCATTTTTCTATTAACAATAACTTATAAAGGCAACAAGCAAAAGTAACAGCAAACTCGAGGTGCCTAAAATGTGCCAAGCACTACTTATACAAATCAGTTCATTTAAACCTCATAATGAGGCATAGGGGTTAAGTAATTTCTCCATGGTCACCAGCTATAATCCAAGAGATGGAATTTGTACCTAGGCTATCTGGCTTCAGCACCCAACCTCTTGACCACTTTTTATCCCTGGGGTCAATGGACTTGCCCTGTATAGGCTCAAAGAATTTTTAAATTTTTAGATTTAAGTTGAAATTTTTTCAGCTTGTTGGGCCATACAATTTCTGTTGCAACTACTCAACTCCACTGGTGTAGGGTGAAAGTAGTCATAGTTGCCATGCAAATAATGGGAATGTTGTATGTTCCAAAGAACCTTCTTTACAAAAACAGGTGATGGGCTGAATTTGACCCACCAGCCATAGTTCACCTATCCCTGATCTGTAACATCAAATTATTAAAAAGGCTTCATGTCCAATTATTAAGTACTTTCAGGTTTAAACACAGTGATTATAACCATTGTAAAGTTGTCATGACATTATTTTTAAAACTATATTTACAAAATTCTAATGTAGTGATTTTTATTAGTTTATAAATCACAGCACCTAACAAATTCTTGATTAAGTCCTGAAGACTATAATGGCATACTTTCTTCACAGTACCACAATAAATGTTTTCAATAATTAAAATACATCAAAGTATTACTTATTGTGTGTTATATATTAAATCTCTTATTTCTAAGATTGAGTGGACTACCTTTACTAAATGGTACAACCCCAAACTGATAACTGGTTATAGTCTTTCAACAAAACTAAAGCTGCACTCACATGTATCAAAAGACAAAAACTACTGCCATTTGTATCAACATATTAATGTGCTTCAATCACATTTGTTTTCATGAAAGTTTAAACATAAAATCACCTTTAAGATCTTGGCCATGTGATCTGCTCCCTGCCATGTCAGATTACACCCCGTGAAGTTTACTGTCTTAAGAGTGATAGAGTTCTTTATACCTTGACAAATAACTAAAAGGAAAAAAAAAACCACACACACAATAAGATGAAGAGCCTATACATTGGTCAATTTTGACTTATTTGCTTTTCTTGAGTCAATTGGAGGTGTATAGCCACATTTTTAAAATCACTGTCTACAATCTTCCCAAACAGGCAGCTGATGAATTGGTGATTCTAAAATATGTCAGTAACAAAGCATTATTCCAGTTTACAGCAACAGTTTAATTTTACTTTCATACTAAAATTGAATACACTGATTACTGCCAATTTTATTCCCAGTCACTCAGTAAAGTACAACAAACCCTTTGAGACGTGGGGAAAAGAAGAAAAACCTAAAAAGTACAAGACTCTTCTTATTTTCATTTCTAATGGTACATCCCAATCTTATCAATCAAAAATTTAAATGTCAACCATAAACCCAGAATTTCATTAGGTGCTATGCAATATGAGACAGAGGACCTCAAACTCTCTGTTCCCTGAAATGGAAATGCAGGCTTCCTTACCCCCCAGACCACTAGTGGGCACAGTGAACAAACACTATCGCTTCAGGACCCCAACCAGTAGTCACCTTCTCTGTGATTAGGTCCATGACATACCCCACCAACACCCCTGAGTTTGCTGGCCTGTTATATACTCTTATAGTACTATGCTTATATTTCCTATTTTGATACATACCACAGTTCATTACAATTATGACTGCAGATTGATGTTTTAACAATCTAAAGATAATGATGGTTTTTTTGCTTTTTACATCTTGCTATTTTCCTTCCCATAATATCTCTTGAAGAGAAACCATAAAAATATGAGCAAACACAAAAAACAAAATACAAAATAGTACATATCTGTGTGGTTTGTAGCTTAACACAACCTTAAGTAAAATTAATTCAGAGAGTATCTAGCATGACAAACTTTCATGGTACAAATGAAACTGGACCAAGGTTTGAGCAGGTACAGGAGACAATCCAAGTAGAGACAGCACCAAGAAAAGGTACAGACAGGAAGTAAGGGGTATAGGGAATCACGAGACCAGTGTGATGGGAAGAGACTTAAAACTGAAACTTACTTTCTAAACCTCCATCTCCAATTGGACAATTTGCAAGAGACAGGTGCACCAAAGTAGCTGATTTATTCAATCCCTTAAGTGGGGAGAAAAAGTTTAAAAATTCATTGGTTTAGTTTCCCCCAAAAGTAACTATCAAATGTTCACAGGACACATTGAAGGCGTCTTACCTTTGTTAAAACAGTTAAATCTCTCTCTCTCAGAACCAGTCCATTTAGCTCCAGGTTCCTCAGTGCACTTGATGCACTTAAACAGCATTTAAGGGCTTTACACAACTGAAAGGTCACATCTTTATTTCTTATCGCAGGAACACGACCTCTGCAAACTTTATTTCTGTCATACCCTAAAGCAAAGTTAGTGTAAAATTAGTGATTTCAATCATACATTTTATCATCATTAAAAAGCATCTGCTCTGTGCTAAGGATCAGAAATGACTGCTGCCCTTATAGCCCTTTTCAAGGAGGGACATGTGTAAACTTAAAACTTCAACCACAGGAGATACAGAAACATAACCTATGTGTGCAGAGGTTCCTATGGAAGAACAAAGTTATGCCTAAGTGACGGCTTCAAGATAACCCTGAAGCTGAACCTAGAAAAACAAGACCACATAGAGTCAGAGCAGGAAGTGCAATAACCACAGAGGGAGTGCCTGTGCAAAGACACCCAAGCCTGACACCTGCTGGGCACTGTAAATACTGCAGGTGGGGATGACTAAAGGCCAGGGGTGCAACTGGGAGAAGACACAGAAATTAAAATACGGATGTTGGTGGAAGCAAGCCTAGGAGAAACTATGGCTTTTATCCCGTAGGTAATGAGCACCGGGGCTACCACTGGCTCCGTAAGGGTGCCTCTGCTGGTTAAGAGAAGATGCCCCGCTGCTAAAGGACCAATTAGATAAACAGAATGATTAGAAAAACACACCTACTTCAGCTAGATTAGAAAAAGCACCCCTTCCTCAGGGCCAAATAGCCCCATGAGTCTTGGCAGAGCACAGTTTAGATTTCATGCCTCTCTGCAGAACACAAGCTGTGCAACAAATGAGCACTAATCCTGTGCAGGCAAGCCATTATAAGCATTATTTTAAACATATCTTTTCATTTTCAAAGATCACTCAAGTCAAGCAGACAGATGAACTTAGAGGAACTGAGCCCAGGGCAGCAAAACCAGCTAGGAGCTTCTGCAACAGTCCGGGCAAAACGTGGTAAGGATGAAGAAGCAAATCTAGGAGACCAAAATCTACAAGTGAGACCCACTGGATGCAAGAGATAAAGGTTCCATGAAGGAACTCTGAAGTGAATGAGCTCTGCAATAAATTTGTCTTACTCTCAGTGTAAAGTATTAGGCAAAATTAAGTACAGTGGCCTTGACTCTAAGGTCCCTTTCCAGCTGTAATTTCTTTTGATTTCTAAGTTATTGCTTTGATTAAGCCCCTTCAGGGGTACAGAACAGTTCCTACACCTGAATGAGATGCAGAGAATAATCTGACTTCTCTCCACCGGGGAATGAGTTGAACTGTCCTTGCAGAAGAGATAGCAGACGGTGTGAACCCCAGGTCCTAGAAAAGGACCAGGAACACAATAAGTATTCAGGTTTTTAAAAATCAGTCAACCATCACTTCTTCTCCCAGATCTTCACACTCTTCCTCTGCTGGCTACTTTCTCTCAATTTATACACATACTTGAGTGTGACCACTTAAAAAACATCTCTCAGACCTATGATTTTTGGGATCCTCTTTGTAGGTAACTTAAGTTTCTTTCATGCCTTCAAACACTTGTCCTCCCAAACAGTGCAGCTCTGTACCTTGGGCAGAGACTTGTCTACCAGGCCCTCTAAACACTGAAGATGAAGTAAGATCCTCTCCCTACCCCTACTCCCTTCTTACTGTTCACTGTATCTCACAGGAAGATGCTGCTGTAAACTGTCACCCACCCAACTTTGCTGCTCCCCCTCTTCTATCTGGTTACCAGGCCCCATCCATTCTGTCTCTCCGATCTCTGAAACTCAGTCCTCCCTTTTCATACCTTAACTTGGACCCTTAGGTAACAATTCATCCTCCACCCAACCAACTGCCTTCCTAACCAAGGTCAGGGTGAGCTTCTAAACCAGAAGCCCACCTCACCCTTCTTTAGTGTTTCCCACAGCCTTTAGGACAAACATTCAACCTTCTCACAGGACAAACAAGGACCCTTTCTGTTTGGCCCCACTCAGATTCCAGGATCAACTCTCACTTCTTTCTCAAACCCTGAGTTCCAGTCCTATACCTTAGTTTTGCCATA